CTTCCACGCCTCTGATTGTGCAGTTTGGAGTGTCTGTCACTCACCTGCTTGACGTGGTACGTTGTTGTTTATGTTTGTTGTTGTTTTTGCTGTCGTTGTTGTTGTTGTTATTGTTGTAACATATGTAACAGAAATGGTAACAGTGGCATGTTTAGAAACATGAATCGTCAATTCAACTATTGTACTTCAAGCGTAAACAAAGGGTAACAATTTTACACTGAAAACTATGTGTTTCAACCCAAATTACGGCCGTAATTTGACAACAAGTACAACTAACTACTACCACTACTAACTACTACCGATACTAACTACTGCTACCACTACAAACTACTATTACTAATAATGGCAATACTTATTATAATTTTCATTATTATAACAGGATGTTAGAAATCAGATTCTGAGTGCCAGTCTATGGATTTACCAGGTATGATAATGTATTTTGTATTTGGGGTAATTGACATGTTTGTGACTAGTAAGTAGTCTATGACATGAACAGAGTATACATTCGATGCTTGTAGTGTAAAACGTACAAGATTTGTAAGATGACATCGCCAAGCACTGGTGCATTGTGTAGATTTTGCATTGGTTCATATGTAAGAAAGTGTCGAAGTCCAAAAGAAGTTGGCCTTTTATTAAGACAAAATTAGAAATGTCAATCATAGAACTTTGTATACCTCGAATAAGCAACATTAACATTCGTTTTTCAATGTTTCATTGTAATAGTTTTCTCGGTGTACAGTTTTCCTTGGCGGGAATATCTATCACTGTTTAACATATAATCATATTTAAAAAAGACATTCCAATTAGTTAATAATGTACAAGAAAATTATATCTGTATTCACCAACAAGAACAAAACAATCAATGAACTACTGGATGACCCATTGCATTTGTTCGGGAGGAATGTCAGTGTGATCATTGTTTTTCACGGGTCAATGAATGTTTGTTCTCTCTAATTCATTTGTCAGCATAGTATACCAGTGTATCACTCATTTCTTTTTCTATTTTAGGAATGGACTGATCGTCGACTGCAGTGGGACCCGTTAGAATTTGGCAATCAATCTTCCCTTGTTGTAAACTTAAGGAGAATCTGGTATCCGGATACAGCTCTATACAAAAGGTTGGTAATTAGGGTTTAATGTTTCCTTAATATGAATATACTTACGTTATACAAATTTATAGAAGATGTCTTAAGAACCCGAGAAAATTATTCTCGGAATTAGACACAATATATATCACGCCTCTCAGATTATCGTAGTAATACGCAGTGTACTATATTATTAATGGAAATCATCGACAAATTTATATATACTAACTTGTTTATATACAAGTAGATGTCAGACTGTATCTCTACGTACGACGTATTCAGCTGGATCAGCTGTCACATTACATGTCCATGGCAACAGGCTAGTAACTAGGGAGAAAATAAGAATATTTAACCATGTGATACATTCTAAGTTGGTAA